TCTTTTGCTGTGAGGAGACATCATGACCAAGGCAACTCTTTTTTTTTCTGTTTGTTTGTTTGTTTTTTGGTGTGGGAGAATTATCTGTATTCTGTCAATCATGTTTTAAATAAATGCTGATTGGCCAGGCAGGAGGTGTAAGTGGGAAAACCAGACAGGACGTGGAAATGATGCAAGGAGAACAGGAGAATTCTGGGGAGGAGGAGGTTGATTCCTCCCACTCCTGCCCAGATCACCGAAGCAGCAAGATGTGATTTGCCCCACTGAAAAAGGTACTGAGCCACATGGCTAACATAGATCAGAAAAATGGGTTAATCATGATGTGAGAGTTAGCCAGTAAGAAGCCTGACCTAACAGGCCAATCAGCTTTATAACTTACAGAGATATCAGTGTGATTTTTCTCTGGGACTAAACAGCTGGGGGACTGGGCAGGACAGAAAACCCCCAACAAACAGGCCTGGTCTTCTCATGTTACAGTTTTTGTTTTTCAAGACAGGGTTTCTCTGTGCCTTTGGAGCCTGTCCTGGAACTAGCACTTGTAGACCAGGCTGGTCTTGAACTCACAGAGATTCACCTGCCTCTGCCTCTCAAGTGCTGGGATTAAAGGCGTGCACCACCACCGCCTGGCTGGTAACTCTTATAAAAGAAAGCATTTAATTGGTGACTTGCTTACAGTTTCAAAGGTTTATCCTGTTATCATCATGGTGGCAGGTAGTTTGGTGTTGGAAAAGTAGCTAAGAGCTGTTTCCTGATCCATGGGCAAAGAGAGAAAGAGAGAGAGGAGGGCGGGGAGGAAGCATAAACAGAGAGACAGAGATAAGACCCTGGGCCTGGTTTGGGCCTTTGACACCTCAAAGTCCACTCTCAGTGACATACTTCTTTCAACAAGGCCACACCTCCTAATCCTTCTCAACCAGTGTCACTCCCTGATGTCTGAGATTCAAATATGTGAGCCTGTAGGGCCATGCCCATTTTAGCCACCATGTGCTGTTTGGTTCTCTGTTTTTGGGTGTGACTGGCCGTCACTGCTGTCTAGAACCATTGGTAGACAGCAGTATGAAGGTGGTGATACAAAATTATACACTTCTTTCTTGGTAAAGTGATTGGGAAAGTTCTATGAAGAAAAACTTCCTTTTGATCCGTATTTGATTATGTTGGCATTTCAACAAAACTCAATTACTTTTATGATTTGATTAGAAAATTAAAATGAACGCTGGCTCATCTTATTTAAACTCAGATGAAGTTTAAGTTAAACAATAGTATTTTCCTATAAAAATAATTTTAGCATGACGAAGTTACTTAGTGCACTTAGTTCTTCTCTTAGCATTGTCATAGAATGAGGACTTAAAGGAAATACAGTGAGAGAGGAAGCCCTGCCATAGCTTACATATTGAAGTTCCCACTCCAGACTTCCCTTCCTCATTCCTTGCAGGGCGTCCTGCATACTAAGCAGTGTTCTAGTACAGGTTTATCCCCAGTCCCTAGAATGCTTTTCAGAAAAAAGTTTTAAAATCTTTTCATATAATATATTTTGATCACACATACTTTGATCATATTCTTTCCCAACTCCTCCCAGATCCTCCCCATCTTCCTATACATCTAATTTTATGTTTTTTCCTCTCCCTTCCTGTCCCTTTCTCAGAAATAAACAGGAAAAGCAACAACCAAAAAACACAAAAATAAGAACAGACAAACAAACAAAAAAAATCAATGAAACAAAAAAAATGTTCACCAAAAAAACCCCCAAAATAAACAGCCAAACAAAGCAAAACAAAAGAAAACAAAAAAAACCCATGGAGTCTGTTTTGTGTTGGCCAACTCCTCCTGGGAATGGGGTCTGCTCTGGATTGTGGCTGATAAGCTGAGTGACATTCTATTGGATAAAACGGTTTCAGGATTTTCCCTTTTCCAGCAGGCAGCAATTGTAAAGTTGGCTAAGGGTAGGACCCCATGTCTGCCCCCCTCCCTTCTCAGTGCTGGGATTGTGTCTGGTTTGAACCTGTGCAGGTCTTGTCAGTCTCTGAGAGTCCTACCGTGTCTGGAGGATGCAGTTTCCTTATAGTCCTCCACCAGCTATGGCTCTTCCAGTCAGGGGCACAGCCCTGAGGAAGGCTGAGGCGCACAGCCCCGAAGTACTGATGATTTCTTTGTCCATCTGTGTCTGGGTGCAGCACAGTCTGTTCTGTGCATTGTTCCCTGTCCTGACGAGCTGTATGTGCTGCTCTCTGTGTTTCCCTGCTGTTCCCATGATGTATCTGTCATCTGTCCTGGAGAGTACTGTCTTCACATCCTTCCTTTGGAACTTCCAGTTCCTCTGATGAAAGGGGAGGCAGGCCAGGATGAGGGCTTTCCTTCTGAGTCCTCTCTGGCAGTTTCTTTCCATGCTTGTCACCAAGTCTGTGTTCTTCACGTGCCACTGCCACAGTGAACTTCCCCAAACACAGCTTATCTACTAAGTTGTTCCCTCTTATTTACTAAATCCATTGACATTAAATTCAGACTTCACCCTTCTTTTTTGACTTTTTAATTCTTGAATTCACTTACTCAAGTGGGTGTTGATGTCTTCCTGGTGTTGTTGTTCTTACACTGTGTATGTCACCCAGACTAGCCTTGAACTCCTTAGGTAGCCAAGGATGACTCTGAACTGCTTTTACCTCCCAAGTGATGGGACTCCAGGCAGGCACCACCACTCCTGGTTTCTGAAATGCTAGAGACCAAACAGTGCTCGTGAAAGGCAAGGACTCCTTCAGTTCGGCTGTGTCTGCCGATTCCCAAATCACCTTTTAAGTTTTGTTTGCTCACATTTGTTAAAGTGTCACAACAGAAAATAAGTATTTGATTAGAAATGTATTGAAGTATCCAGACTATTTCTTTTCTTTGCCCTAGTTTTTATAATCGAAAAACCTACTAAATCATATTCTTCTCTGCGTAGCTCTGGCTGTCCTGGAACTCACTCTGTAGACCAGACTGATCTTGAACTCACAAAGGTCCGCCTGCCTCTACCCCTGCGTGCTGGGATTAAAGGCGTGCGCCACCACCGCCCAGCCAAAATCACATTCTGTACTTGTATAAGCACTCTAAAATGTTTGGTCTCAAGATCCAATTACTAAAACCATGATTTTTTGACACCCCCACTTGTAAAATGGCGGCTATCAATGAAGGCTAGCCCCACACAGAACATTAATAATTCCTTGACAGTTTTGTTTGTCATAATTGGGTGTTGCTGTCATCCAGGGGTAAAGGTTTCAGTTGCTCCTAGCCCAGCAACAAAGACTCACCTATTCCCAAATGTCAGTCAAGGTGCCAAGTCCAAGAAACCTGATATAGAATTTGCAGATTTTTGTGTGTATCCATCCCGTCTGTCTGTCTGTCTGAGCTGTGATTTATAGTATCTACACGCACCTGTGCAGTTTACCTGCTTAGGATCCTTCTTTTAGCTTTACCTTGTTTTTTTAAAATCACACACACACACACACACACACACACACACACACACACGCACGCACAGACGCATGCACACACACACATGCACACACCCTACCTCCAATGCAGTCATGTTCTTAGTTCCCCTTCTGTACTCATTTTCAGTTTCTCTGCAAGTGGCTTCTACACACGCCATTCTTACTATTCTTTTCTGTTCTCTTTTCCTTTGTTTCTGAGGCAGGGTTTCACACAATGGCGTACTGCATTGTTGCTGTGATAAAGCACCACAACCAAGGCAGCTTACAGGAGAAAGAATTTATTTGAGCTGTGGCTCCAGAGGGATGGGATCCACCACATCAGGGAGGCAGGGCAGCCAGCAGCAAGTGTGGTAGCAGGGGCGGGAAGCTGAGAGTTCTCATCCACAATTGCAAATGGGCAACAGGGAGAAGGAACTGAAGCAGAAAGGAGCTGTATGATCTGAAAGCCCGCCCCCAGTGGTGAGTTCCCAACATCAAGGCTGTCTATCCAAGCCTCCCCAAACAGCGCCACCAGCTGGGAACCCACTATTCAGATGCCCAAGCCTGTGGAGGACATCTCCTTTTCAAACCAATACGCCCAGAGAGATCTGGAACGCACTAGGAAGCTCAGGCTTTAAGAGTGCTAGGATTACAAGTGTGAGCTACTGTTCTTGATTCAAACAAGCAAAATTTAGGGAACTTTTGAAAAAAAAGAAAGAAAGAAAAGAAAAAAGGCCCCCCCCCCCCTCCTCCAGGATCTTAGAAAATGGTCTCTTAAAATTTTAAGTTGTTTCTAGGTAGTGGTGGTGCATTTCTTTAATCCCAGCACTTGGGAGACAGAGGCAGGAGAATCCCTGAGTTTGAGGCCAGCTTGGCCTACAGAGAGTGTTCCAGGACAGCTAGGACTGATAACAGGGAAATGTCTCAAAAAAAAGAAAAATGAAAAGAAAGAGAGAAAGAAAGAAAGAAAGAAAGAAAGGAAGGAAGGAAGGAAGGAAGGAAGGAAGGAAGAAAGAAAGAAAGAAAGAAAGAAAGAAAGAAAGAAAGAAAGAAAGAAAAAAGAAAGCCAAACTATCTTTTAGAGCAATTCCAGTAAAGGTAAGTCAGTTACGTCCTTATGTGAATCCATTATTTCCAGGTTTTCATGCAGGTCGCCACTTGAGTCTCTTATTATATGTGCTGGGCTGTATGGGGATTGACCGAAGACCTCTTGTGTGTGATTACCTCGATGCTTTTATAGGTCGAGAATCTCGCTGTTACTCTGAAGCTTTCATTGAGTTCTTTTTTATTGAATGATTAGGAAGCGCCTTTAAAGTGTCTGTTGTAATGACTTGCTGTCCAGTCACACAGCTGGAGCTGACTGGCCTCTGTAAATGCCTATAAATGCAGCTTTATTGTACAGGTTCCCCGAGTCCAGGGCTGCCGAGCTGGTCTGGAGAGTTTCTGTCCGTCCCTCACTGCCATCTAGACCTTCATCAACCCTGAGAGTCTGGACATCCCTAGCTTGTGTAACAATCACTGTGATGTAATGCCCATCGTGTGGTCTTTTCTTTTAAACAGGGGGAAATGCAGTGTTGCCCTGCTGAATGAGACAGAGTCGGTGTTGTCGTACCTTGATAAAGAGGTAATTTGCAGTCACTTTCGCTTTGTGCTTTCTCCCCATTACTTCACATGAAGGCCACACTTCTATTTCCTTTGTGCCTGAGTGTTATTGTGCCTTCCCTGCAAGATGGCATCAGCTGGAGTGCATTTGGCAATTGCATTGTCCTGACTGAAGGCAGAGTTGGCAAAAGTGGTATCTCTTTGTCAGTTCCAATGAGAGGCTTACTGAAGTACATACAGCCCAGAATGTAGATGAGGATTTTCATCCCTGGTTCTCATTCCTTCATCCCGTGGTCTGTTTTTGAATATATGCCTCACACTCTAGCGACTCTGCAGACTTAATAAGAACAGGCAGCCAGGCCACTGTGCTTATTAACTCTAGGGCACTGGAGCCTTTTTGTTTGTTTTTAAAAACTAATCTATTATTATTGTATGTGTGTGTGCCTGCCCACAAGTACATATATGTGATGGGGGGGGCAGACACAGATGCCGTTGTATGTATAAGGAGATCAGAGGACAGCTTGGTGGAGATATTTCTCTCCTTTTACCTTTTTATGTGGATTCTAGTGATCAAACTCAGGTTGTTAACCTTGGGCTGTAAGCACCTTTACCCTCTGAGACATCTTGCTGGGCCTACTGGGCTTTTGAAGGAACCAATGGAATGTTTAATGTGTGGGTTGGTGGTAATCGTGTGTTTAGTTATGCTGTGTCTACCATTATACACATAACTGTGCATTACAATTTAAAAGAGAATGACAGAATTATAATAATAATTAAATGGATTTGTATAGTGATATTAACAAACTACATGTCAGGGGGCATGAGACATGGCTCAGTGGTTACGAGCACTTAATGCTCTTGTGAATTCCTGGATTTACTTCTCAGCACCTGCATGGTAGTGTCCAACCCTCTGGGACTCCAGTTCCAGGGGATCTGGTACCCTTCCTGGCCCCTGTGGCTCTAGGTATGCATGTGATGCACAGACATACGTGCAGGCAAACTGATACACATTAGATAAAAATAAACAAATATTTTAAAAACTACATATATGTTCCACTCTTGTATATTTAGTCAATATGTGGGGTTTTGTTTCTTAGACAGTCTCACTGTGTGTCCCCGGCTGGCCTGGAACTCTCAGAGCTCCACCTGCCTCTGTCTCCTGAGTGCTGGGACTAAAGATGTGGGCCACCAAGCTTCATTTTGTTTTCGAAACAGGGTTTTTCTGTGTCTTTCAGACTGTGTGAAAATATCTGTCAGCCTCAGCCTCCCTGCTAGCCATCCCAGCTAGCCTCTCAGAACTCTATTTAGAGTAGTTGATGACTTTCTTTTATATTAAAGCAAACTGTAGAATTTTATATTCTTCTTAAAGTTATTTGTTTTGGCTCTATGTAATTCTGTGCTATTGTACATGATGACAGTATTACCATGTTCTCCTTGAAGATATATTAATTTGTTCACTAAAATGAAATTTTATATATTCAGAAGTTAAGGTTATAATTTTCATTTCTGTGATATTAATTTTATTGCTTTATAAAACGTAGAAGTGTTCAGTTTACTTAGGTGGTTTTTGTCATTTTTTTTTTCCAGGATACCTTCTTCTACTCATTGGTGTATGACCCTTCAGTGAAAACATTATTAGCCGACAAAGGGGAAATCAGAGTGGGACCAAAGTACCAGGCTGACATTCCAGACATGCTACCAGAAGGTGTGTGCTTTGACTTCAAGTCCTGGGAAATGGTGTCTTACAACATGAAGGTTCTTGTCCTCGGGGAAGAAGTGTAGTGGAGAGTTCAACAGTTTGAGCCTTCCAATTTTAGAAACATAGCAAGCATCAGAGAGTAATCTACTTGCTCGCTTACCCCTTCATGACTTCACGTTTGTTTTCATGGATGTGGTTTGTTTGTTTTGTTTATGTGTGTTCCACACATGTATGTGTGTGAGTGTGTGTATATGTGTGTGAATGTGTGTGTGTGTTCTACACATGCATGTGTATGAATTTGGGGTGCGGTAGGCCAGGGGACAGCATTAGGTAGCGTCAGGGTCTTTCACTGAGCTGGAGCCTGCTGATTTCACTGGACTGGCTGGCATCAGGTACCAGGGATCACCCAACCCTCCTCCTCAGTGCACATCACAGGCATGCACTATTGTGCCCAAATCCTGTTTTCCTATGGGTTCTGGGGATAAAAATGAGATCCTTGCATTTGCGCGACAAGCACATCACTCACTGAGCCATCTCTCAGGCTCTGACTGTTATAAGCTTTAGATTTTTAGTGTGTAAGGGTGTGATGGCACATGCCATTAAGTACTTGGGAGCAGAGGCAGGCTGATCTGTGTTAGTTTGAGGGTAGCCTGGTCTAGAAGTGAGTTCCAGGCCAGTCTAGCCAAGGCTACATAGACCCTGTCTTAAAAAAAAAAATGCAAAACCAAAAAAACTTTAAAAAAAACTTGGTTATTGTTGTTGAACTTTGATCTAATGTGTGATTCACATTCATTCCTATTTTCCATCTGATTCTCTGTATTCCCCCAACCCCACCCCTCCCTGGAGGATCAGGACCTGATGTATGCTAGGCAACACTCTATCAACTGAGCTCTATTTCCAGACCTCTGTCTTGAGATAGGTAAATGACTTTAAGCTATCTAGCTCAGCAGGCAATGGAGCCTAGTAAGCTGTTACATTTTGGTGAGAATTTGACCGATCTGTATAGCCAAGAGGGTCACTGTTATAAACTTTAAAAAAAATCTTTTATTAGATTTATCTTTATGTGTATGAATGGATCATGTGAATATGTGTCACATGTGTGTGGTTGCCTGAGGGGTCCAGGAGAAGGCATATGGTCCCCTGGAACTGGAGTTACTGGTGGTTTTATGAGCTGTTTAATATAGAACTGGGAATTGACTGGGTCCTCTGAAAGGACAGGAAGTGTTCCTAACCACTAAGCCATCTCTACCCCGAAGGATTATAACGAAGCAGATCTTTGTAGAGGGACGTACTTTTTGCTTGGCTTGTTTTTAAAGTTGCTCTGGTTGACTTTATTTCTATTTATCTTTAACTTAAAACACCACATTTGTAGATTTTAGAGCAGTGGTTCTCAACCCGTGGGTTGCAGCCGTTTTAGGGGTCTAGCGACCCTTTCATAGAAGTTGCCTAAGATCATCTGCTTATCATATATTTACATTTTGATTCATAACAATAACCAAAACGCAGCAATGAAGTAATTTTAAGATGGGGGGGTCACCACAACATGAGGAACTGTATTAAAGGGTCTCAGCGTTCGGAAGGTTAAGAACCACTGTTTTAAAGAAAACTGCTCTTTCAAATTTTTGTTGCATTTTTATTTAGTGTGTATTTGCATGTGTGTGCATGTGTATACGTGCCAAATCTGTGTGCAGAGGTCAGAGAACAACTTCTGCCTTGCACATCCTGGGGTTCAAATTCAGGTTGTCAGGCTTGGAGGCATGTGCTGTCCTGGGTGCTTTTGTGTGTTTACTTGACACAAGCTAGACTCATCAGAGGAAAGGGCCTCAGTTGAGGAAATGCCTCCCTCATTTCTAACTTTAAGGCGTGTTCTCAATTAGCAATCATGAGGGAGGGCCCAGTCCACTGTGGGTGATGCCACCCCTGGGCCAGGTTCTATAAGAAAGCAGGCTGAGCAAGCCATGGAAAACGAGCCAGTAAGCAACACTCTTCCACGGCCTCTGCATCAGCTCCTGCCTCCAGCTTCCTGCCCTGTTTGAGTTTCTGTCCTGACTTCCTTCAGTGATGGACAGCAATGCAGAAGTGTAAGCCAAACAACCCTTTCCTCCCCAGCTTGCTCTTTGTCATGGTGTTTCATTGCAGCAATAGGAACCCTAACTGAGACATGCGCCTTCATCTGCTGAGCCATCTCCCTGGCCTAACATGACATTTAGAAATATCAAAATGAAGAAGTCTTTTGGATTCTTCTTGGGACCTACGGTATCTTCCCGGTGTTCTTCTCATTGTAACTGAGCAGTCAACTAGATGCGTAGTTTAAAGAACCTTCGTTTTCTTTCTTCCTTTCTCTCTTAGTGCTTAGAAAGGTCTCTCTTTCGTTTTCTCTCTTTCTTTCTTTCTTTCTTTCTTTCTTTCTTTCTTTCTTTCTTTCTTTCTTTCTTTCTTTCTTCCTTTCTCTCTGTCTGTCTCTGTCTCTGTCTGCCTGCCTGCCTGCCTGCCTGCCTGCCTGCCTGCCTGCCTGCCTGCCTGCCTGCCTGCCTGCCTGCCTGCCTTCCTTCCTTCCTTTCTTTCTTTCTTTCTTTCTTTCTTTCTTTCTTTCTTTCTTTCTTTCTTATTTTTTGATTTGTGAAGCCCTAGAGGTCCTAGAACTAGCTCCATAAACCAGGCTGGCCTCGAACTCACAGAGATCCTCCTGCCTCTGCCTCCAGAGTGCTGGAATTAAAGATGTGTGCCACCACTGTCTGGCAAGAACCTTTTTTCTGATTCCTATCTGCTAGGGCAAAGGACCTTAAGCACTAACAGACGTATAAAGTCATGAAACATGAGCCTGGTGTGGTTGTATGCTCATAAACCAGCCATTCTGAGGCTGAAGCAAGAGGGTTGTGTGTTCCATCCTGAATTACACGGCAAAACCATGTCTTGAAAAATAAATCAGCAGACAAACAAGTATGAAAGAAACTGCAGACACTGGCACGACACAGCAGTGTTGACAGTGAAGTACCTGGCCGCAGGACAAATATACTAGTAGAAAGCAGTATATTTGAGAACCTTTGGGCTGCAATTCGAGCCTTCTGAGCCTGTTGACAATCTCCAGTGAGTGCTTTTGACCAGTGGCCAGATCGCAATCTGCATTGGAATGGGAGGTGAAGCTGGAGTAATACCCTGGGTAGGTGGCTGCAGCAGCTTGTCAGAATCCACATCTGTGGCCCCAGAACCTGCTGCATTGCTCCGCTATGGAAGAACCACAGGGACAGCGTGACTCTGCCAAAGGGAAAACACTCTTGCGCCTTGGTTTCGATTTTCAATTCCACTGAAACTCTGCCAGGATCACCATCTCATTGGCCTACAGGGACTGAGGTTTAAGGAGATAAAGATCAGCTGACCTTTGCTCTCCAAGCAAACGTCAGTGTGTCTCCCCACCCCCCCTTCTGGCAGTCTACTTATTTCAACGCTCCAAAGACAAGTTCCCTAAACCTTGTTATTTTCTTCTCTTGCCCTCTCTTTCTCCGATGATTGAACATGGGGCTTCACACATGCTAGACAAGCTCTCCACTCCCAGCTCAACCGTGTCATTTACAGTGGTAACTTTGTAGAATGCAGGCCTCTCAATGCTGTGTTAGAAGCAGGTGGGCTTAGATAGGAATCTCATGTTGGGAACAGCAAAAAGCTGAAAGCTAGTGCCAGATTGAAGCCCTAGTATCCAGGAAAGGACTTCACAGTTTGGTTTTGTTTATTGAGCAGAATCTTGCTGTGTAGCCCTGGCTGTCCTGGAACTTAACTATGTAGACCGAGCTGGCCTGGGCCTCACAGAGATCCACCTGCCACTGCCTGCCCAGTGCTGGGAGTAAAGGTGTGTGCCACACGCCCAGCTTCAGTTTTAACTTGTTTGACAACCTTGTAGGAGAGACTGGAGCTGAGTTAGGGATGGGCAGGGCCACATCTTGGTCAAAGTGCTTAGGTGTGCTTAACTGTGGCCCTCTACTTAAACCAACATCTCATGTCAGGATCGTGAAGATGGACGTGGAGGGGTGCTGGATCTCTGCCCTTCCTCCTAGCGTGGTCACATTAAATAATATTCTCCCTTTAAATTTGAGTATAAGCAGATATACATTGAAGACATATAGAACAATTCCCAACAACAGGACAAGTTTGTCCCCTAGGGGACATTGGGCAATGTGTAAACATTGTTATCTTTTGGGGGAAGGAAGTAGATAGGTGATATTCCATAGGCGCACCTTAGATAAAGTTCCCTGATGCTGCCAAACATGGGAGAGAACAGAATGTATTCAGCCCCAGGTGTCAAGTGTCTAGCTCGAGAAAACCTTCTATAATGGCTTCTTGGATGTTGTAAGTGTCCAGTTAGAGTCAGTTATTATTTATATGATAATAGGACTTAAACTTTCAAATATATTGATATTTTGAGATGGGGTCTCATGTGGCTTAGGTTGGCCTCTTCCTGCCTTCTTTATTTCCCAGGAGCTGGCAAAACCACCAGACCTGGTTGTATGAGGTACTGGGGATAGAACCCAGGGTTTTGAGTACGTTAGCAAGCATGTCACCAACCGAACTATGTCCCTAGTCTCTATTTCTTTACTTTTATTAACTCTTTCTTTTTGTGGCGTTGGGGATCAAACTGAGCTCAGCATTGTTTGGTTTACTGTTGCTCTATATTAGAATCCCATTCAGAGTTAATCCTATTTCTTAGCTTACTACTATTTGACTAGAAGATTAATAAAATAATTTATCTGCTCCTAAAAGTAAGTTCTTATAAATTTATCCTATGAGAGAGTTGTACAAAAATGCTATCAGAAAGACTCAACACTTCACTGTTTATTCCAATCATCTTTCCTTTGGAAGTTCTAATAATTATATAAATATACTGTCAATGTTGTTTATATTTCTTATTCTTATATTTTCTTTGGAATCTCCACTGGGCTTCTTAAATTCATATGTACAAGGCTATTCTAGTAACTTATTACTCCTTTGATTCATATCCTAGTATATCATCCAGAGTTTTTCAAGCAATATTCAACAGAAATGATGATAAATGGTATCCTTGAGAGTTTCTGATTTAAATATAACATAAAAATGTGGCAGCTGCTACAACTAAGATGAATTTTACATAGAAAGCAGATAATTCCAGTGGTCCAGGAAAGGGTTTCTAGGATGTGTAATACATCATTGGTCCTTCGCCATGGGAGGACCTGGGTGCTCGTAAGGAATATACTGAAGAAATGGTTGGCTGTATAAGCACATTTCTGGATCTATGTTTCTTCAACTTTATGTGTCAAAAAGAAGTGGGAAGCTATATAGTCTTGCAATTAGTTTTCTGTGGTAGAGCCTCATTATGTTGTCCTGGCTCCTCTGGAACTTGTATCCCTTCTCCTTCTCTACCGCCAAGTGGGATTATAGGCATGCACCACCACACCTGGCCTAGGGTCTCAGGAGATGCTGCTGATGCTGGTGCTGGTGCTGATGATGCTGGTGCCTGGGGCTGTGATGTTGGTGCTTGTACCAGTGCTAGTGCTGATGATGCTGATGCTGGTTCTGGCGCTGATACTGTTTCTGGTGCAGTGCTGACGGTGCTGATGCTGGTGCTGATGCATGCCACGTTGTTGGTTTGCTTGTATCACCATCTCTACACACCTGCTACCAAAGGATGCACCCAGATGTGATTACAGTTTTCCTGACATTTGAGCATCTAATACATTGGTGACCATAGCCATCAACCATACGCCACAGTGTAAACAACAATCCCTTTCCTTTGTTTTTGGACAGGAGACTCAGATGAGAGGGAACAATCAAAATTGGAAGTTAAAGTTTGGGATCCCAATAGTCCACTTACGGATCGACAGATTGACCAGTTTTTAGTTGTAGCCCGGTGAGTATACCATTATCCAGTCAAGTCTTTTTATGAAACATCTTGCACTTGTGTATAGTTCCTTTTTAAAAAACATATTATTTTATTTTACATGTAAGATTATTTTCCTAAATGTACTATATGTGTGCCTGTTACTTTTGGAGACCAGAAGAAGATATTAAATTTCCTGGAACTAGAGCTACAGACACTTGTGATTTACCACATGGGTACTGAAAACCAAATTCAGGTCCTCTGTAAGAGTGACAGTCTCTACAGCCCCTATTTCCTTCCTTCCTTTCTCCCTTTCCCCTTCCTCCCTCCCTCCTTCCTTCTTTTTATTTTTTTTTTAAATACTTTTTAAGACAGAGCCACTCTGTGTAGCCCTGCTGGCTCTGAATTTCCAGAGATCCGCCCACCTTTGCTTTCTGTGGACTAGGATTAAAGGTGTGCACCACCATGCCTACCATATATCCTTTTTATATTCCAGCCCCCACTCCACTGTTATCTTTTTCTTTTTCTAGTCCTGTGAGAAAGCCAATATCTAGTCGCACTGTCTCCTAAATAATGTGATTTACTGTCGTTAATTTGTTATAAGTGAAAATGTTTAATTTTAATTACAAAAGTGGAAGCAAGGGTTGGGGTAGAGCACCTGCTTGCCTGGCGTGTGCAGCATCCCAGCTCAGATCCTCAGCAGTGCTAAAAACCTAAGCCAGCGGCAGCTACCAGAAGGATAGGTGTAACATAGTGAATAGTGTGTGTGTGTATGCGTGCGCTGTGTGTCTGTGTTTAAAAGTTAGAAGCATAAGGAAGAAATGGAATACCTGAATCCCATATCTTTAATGAAAGAAATGCCCTTTATTTTGGACAATGCTGAACTCTAAACTGGATTGTCAGGTGCCAGTAGAAATCTGTCACTCAGTCCAGGGGAGGTAACACACACCTGTAATCCCAGTTCTTGGGAAGTAAATGCAGAAAGATCAAGAATTTGAAGCTAGCCTGGAATCATAGTGAGTTTGAGGCTAGCTGGGCTACCTGAGTCTGGCTCAAAAAAATCCAAGCCCCTAATGAAGTTGAGAGGGAGGAGAAGAGGGAAGAGGAGAAGAGGGTGAGGCCTGGTAAGGAGGCTGCTGCTTGCAAGCTCCCCTCCCCCAAGGCTTGGTTACTTTGCTTCTCCCACTGGCTCTTCCTTAAGCAATGAGTAAGGGCAGAATTTTATTTTTATTTCTTCAATGATAAAAGTAAATGAGGCTTGTGAGGAAAACTGCCACAAAAGAGAAAGCAAATGAGATGAACATGCCATTGTCATGGCAGATAAATTAGGAAAAGCCCCAGTGGACATCAACAAGCAGCTGAGGAATGAGTGAGTTACCCCCTTACAATGGGGTAGTACTGTACATCCGTTAAAATGAGGGAATTTGAACTTTGTGTAATAAAGGGCCAAACCCTCTAATATTGAAATGAAGGTCTACAAAGTATGATTGTCTATGTGTTTGTACTGTGTTCATTTATTTGAAAAGACCATGTAATGTACAAACTGTTTTATTCCATTAATGGATATATTATACATTATGACCATAAGAGACTGTAACCAAATTTATAATGTTTAATTCCTTGCATGAATCAGACGGCAAAATAATTTGAATCAACTCAACCCAAATAATAGGCGGAAGGGTCTCTGTAACAGTTTCTCATTTTGTGTTAAAGTAGTCAGACTGTCAATAAGGACAGTCATTGTGGAAGGTCACACTCTACTAATGGTCAGACACTTTGGACTCAGAGCCTGTCCTAGTTAGGGATTTTTATGGTGGAAAGACAGCATGGCCACAGCAGCGTTTACAAGGAAAGCATTTAGTTGGGGCCCCGCTGCCTTACAGTTTCAGAGGTTCACTCTATCATCATGGAGCGTGGCAGTGCCCAAGCAGACAGGGAGCTGAAGGAATAGTTGAGAGTCCTCATCTTGCAGGGACTAGGAAGCTGACTGAGACTTTGGGCAGTATCCTGAGCGTAGGAAACCTCAAAGCCTGCCCTCGCTGTGACATGCTTCCTCTAACAAGGCCACAACCACTCCAATAAAGTTACGCCTCCTATTTGTGCCACTCCCTCTCGGATTATGGGGCCAATCACATTCAAACCAGCACAGAGCCCTAGACTCACAGCTTAAGGACTGGATGGGGCATTAGGTGTACATTGCGGGGGCAATAGCCCGCCCGTGGAGCAGGAGGCTGAAGAGTTGGAAGAAGCAATGAACCAGGGATATGGCAGTGGCCATATGTGCAGGACTGTACCTGAGTGGTGGGTTAGGGAGACCTGCAGTTTGCCAATTTGATTTACATTCTGTTTTTTGTTTTTGTTTTTGTTTTGTTTTGTTTTGTTTTTATCAGACTACTGTTTGTTATCCACATTTATGAAACCTGGTCAAGGTGGTGTTTTTATGAAAATTACTTTTAAAATGTTTAATTAAACAAGTAAGCAAAAACCCCAAAATACTGAATCTAAATACAATTATTTTTATTTTTTAATTTTTTGAAACAAGACCTTGCTCTCTATAAAGAAACTGCCAAGCTTGTAGCAATCCTCCTGCCTCGGCTTCCTAGATACTATGGGCACAGGTATTAAACATCATGCCCAGCACCTATCCCAACCACATTACTGCAGTTGTAATAGCCTTGCCACCCCTGCCATCCCTGCCCTCTTACTTTGTAGAGCCGGGACTTGACCTGAGTTATACTAGCCAAGCCCTGCACTTCTGAAGTGCTGAGGTTAGTGTAGGTATTGGGATCATCAGCATTGTCTCGTCTCCCTGGTGGGACTATCAACTGGCACAGCTGCTTTGGAAAACTGCTTGACATTGTCTCCCCACACAGCCTGTAAGCTTTACTGCAAATATCACACTCAGGAAGAAAGCGTCCCGGGTACTGGAAGATGTGTGTGCATACGGCTTTCATAGCAACATCTGCACACTGGAGTATTGTCCAGCTGAAGAGACAGGGTGAGGAAACAGAAGAGCATGCCATTTCAGAGAAAATGCATTCCTGTCACTCCAGCTAGCAGCTTAGATGACTTCCAAAGGATGAAACAAGAGAAAGAATAGTGTGCATCCAGGTGTGGGGCCCGTGTAGGTTTGTGATCTGGTGCTTGGGAGGCCAAGGCCAAGGGTTCTGAGTTTGATGGCAGTTTGGGCTGCATAGTTCCAAGCCAGCCTAGGCTACATGAGACCTTATCTCAGAACAACAACAGCATGTATAACATTTGTGGTTTCTTGCCAGCAAAACTAATCTGTGATCTTAGCATTCTGGTGGTGTCAAGAGTGATGACACACACCTATAATTCCAGCACTTGGGAGGCCAAGGTGACACCACAGTCTAGCCTCAGCTCCATAGTGAGACACTGTCATGGTGTGATTTTTGTAGTTGTTGTTAGCTTTTGTATGAAACAGGGTCTCACTAGGTAGCCCTGACTGGCCTGGAACTCACAGAGATCCTCCTGCCTCTGCCTCCTAGATTAAAGATGTGGATTACCACATTCAGCTGTGTTTTTGTTTTATTTTGTTTCTTAGACTCTAGGATAGTAGTTCCTTGTGGGAGGGAGTGTAGGAAGGATTGGCCACCTTCTGTTTCTTCTCTTGGGTGTTGGTTGGACCCTGGGCATATTCACTTTGTGAGAACTAAATATCTGTATAGCGTAGTAGGGTTTGCCTTTTCATATATATTAGATTTTAAGTAAAATGATATGAGAAAATCTTCCCCAGGTAACTGTCCAGCAAAGCAGGTGGTCTATGTATCCTGTTCCTCCTGGGGTTAAGATTCCCTTCATACCAAACACTCTAGATCATTACAAACGGAAACCAGTGCTATGGAAGTTACTTTTTAAAAATGGTATAGTGAAAATGGATTATTTTGTGGAGACAGGAAGGGGTTTCTGCTATAACATTCATGTGAAAAACGCTACTGGGATTTCACACTTGGTATTTAGAACTTGCTTCGCAGTGGTAGTCAGACGCTCAGCGAATTTCCTTTTCCTGTTTTTGAGCACATATGAATACCAAATGAGGTGTCTGTCCCCTGGCATTTTAGACTCCATCTTCTCTTTCCTTCTCTGTGACCACACAGGTTTGTTTTTTTCCTTGCTTGAATGATAATTACCTGCATATGCTGATACTTGGAACCAGAGCTTCTCAGAGTCCTGCTTTGTGTTCCGTTTGGGATTTGGCATCTTTGTCTGTGTGATGAGTTGTCTTGGGGATGGGTCCCAAGACTAAACAGGAAGGTTTTTTATGTTTTGTATGTGTCTTACAGAGCCTTAAAATAATTTCATACAATATCTTTTTTAAAATGTATTAGTTTTACTTTATTTTATTTTATGTGAATTGATATTTTGCCTGCATGTGTATCTGTGTGAGAATATCAGATCCCCTGGAGGTGAAATTGTAGGCATCCATGAGCTGCTATGTGAGTGGCTGGGAACTGAACCCAGGTCCTCTGGAAGAATAGCCAGTGCTCTTAACCACTCAGCCATCTTTACAGCTCCCCGCTTTGCAATATCTTTTTGTTCTTATTTTGTTTTGATATAGAGTCTCACAATGTAGCCTTGATTGACCTAGAGCTCACTTTGTAGACCAGGCTGACTTCAGGCTCACAGAGATCCTCCTACCTCAGCCTCTTGAGTGCTGGGATTAAAGGCATGCACCACTACACCTCCCTTTGAGCAAAATCTTTTTCTTAAAAATTTATTTATTTGTTTTTATTTCATGTGCATTCATGTTTTTGCCTGCATGTATGTCTGTGTGAAAGCGTCAGATCCCCTGAAACTGGAGTTACAGGCAGTTACAAACTGCCATTTGGGTGCTGGGAAATGAACCAGGGTCCTCTGGAAGAGCAGCCACGCTCTTAACCACTGAGCATCTCTTTAGCTCCTTGAGCAAAATCTTACATGGTTTTGTACATGAGGCAAAGTTTCATAGCATGGAATTTTTCCTTGTGTCATGTGGAGTTTCAAATTTTTGAAAATTTTACTTCTCAGTATTACTCAGTTTGTATTATATCTTAAAAGAGAAAAATAGTTTTCAATTGATAATTACCAAACATGCTTTTCCTTTCTTTACAGTTTTTTATTTATCACCCCCAAATGTAGTCCTCTTCCACAGTCTTTGCTTTAGTTTCTGTTTCCAGATTAAACATAAAAGCAGGATCGAAGGAGGTAACCAGGCAATAAAAGCCCACGCTACCAATACAGGAAGGCCTGGATTCAACTCCAGGACCAGGGTGGAGAGACGGGCATGTGCTTGTAAGCCCAGTGCTGCGGAGTGCCCTCGCTCGCCCTCCCACTTGTAAGCCCTTCGGTTCTAATGTGAATGACTGTGTCAAATATAAGGGTGGCAGCTCCTTCCACTCTCACTGGAGCTGCCTTCTGCGTGTGTGCGCATGCATACACACACATGTATAAGGCTTTGCATCCTCCTCAAAATACACATACCCACACACCCTACTTACACACACACACTTCTGCTCACACATACACCCTACTCACACACACACACGCACCCACACACCCTACTTACAAATAAATTACAAAACAAACAAAAAGTAACAGGCAGGGGTGCTTGTTAGTTTTTTGGCAACTTGCTACAATTTGGGGTCATTTGAGAAGGGGGAACCTCAGCTGAGAAAACGCCCCTCTTAGATTAGCCTGTTTGTAAGTCTAACGGGCGTTTTCTTGATTTATGATTGATATGGGAAGGCCCAGCCCACTGTGAGCAGGGCCACCCCTAAACAGGTGGCCCTGGGCTATAAGAAAAGACAAGCTGGGCAAGCCATGGAGAGCATCCCAGTAAGCAGCACCCCTCCATGCTCGAGGAACTGGCCTCGGGTTCAGTTCCTGCTTCTAGTGTCTTGCCTTGACTTCCCTCAGTGATGGAATGTGGTCTGGGACATGTGAGCCAGATAAACCCTTCCTTTTCCAAGCTGCTTTTGTTTGTGGTGTTTTTCCCGGCCCTGGAACACGCACTAGGACAGAGGGGCTGGAGAGATGGCTCAGTGGTTAAGAGCGCTTGTTGTTCCTGCAGAGAACACCAGTTCCCAGCACCCTCATGGCAGCTCAGTTCCGAGAGATCTACATCCCCCTCTGGCCTCCTCCAGCAGTAGACATGCGCATGGTGCTCTTACCTGCACGCAGGCAAACTATCATACACAAAATAAATAAATATGGTCACCTTTTATTGAAGAAGTAACTTACTGTTCTCTGTGTTCGGCTCCTCAGTGCTGTTGGGACATTTGCCCGTGCCCTGGATTGCAGCAGCTCCGTGAGGCAGCCCAGCTTGCATATGAGTGCGGCTGCAGCCTCCCGAGACATCACCTTGGTAAGATGCCTTTTGCCATTTTGAGGTTATTCTCTTGCTGCTTCCTTAATTATAAACCATGCGAAGGATGCTGGATTCTCAGAGCTCTCTGACGGTTGACCCTGCACTACTAAGTTGATTCAGGCTAGCTGGTTGATTAGCTGGGCTTCTGAGTCACCTCTTGCTTGTGAGCTGAGACCAGGAAGAAGCGCTAAGGAATAGAGTGGGGAAAGTTGTACGGAGACGGTTCTCACCTTTCTGATAGGCTGCTGCTTCTCGCGTGTGCTTTTCTCTGTTCATTTACTCAGCTGTAGGTCACTCACGGTATTTTATTCTTTTTTATACATAAGGGATCACTGTTGCTATCACTATTGAGACTATTGCTGTGGTAACTATGTGTTGGTTTTGAGGTGAATTTTTAATAATTTTTAGTGCACAAATAATAGGTTTTATTATGATATTTTCATACATATTTTATTTTGCTTGTATTCAGGCATTTCACACACACACAATCATCTCAAAAAATATATATATTTTTGAGACAAGGCCTCACGTAGCCAAGGCTGGCCTTGACCTCACTGTGTAGATGAGAATGGCTTTCAAACTCTGATCCTCCCACTTCTACCTCTGCTGGGATTACTGATTTGTTGTGGGTTTTACTGTTATTTTAATTTAATGTTTTATTGTGTCGTGAGTGTGTGGTGCAAGTGATGATATGCGTTTGTTGTGGGTTTGGGTGGAGAGGTCAGAGGATGACTTGGGCTAAGTGTAACTAAGCCTCTCACTTGACGTTACTCTGCCTGTTTGACGTGGGGATGCTCTGTAGCTTTGGCTGGCACTGCACTCTGTCCTCCCATTTTGGCACATCACTACTGGGAACTGGCGTGTGCCATGATGCCAGGCTACAATGATGTTTAAAGGAAGTTTTGTTTTTTTTTCCTTTCAATGTCCAATCTTTCTTCCAAAATAAGTTTGTATTTTGGTTGTTTACAACTTGAAAATTCTTTTTATCATAGAAACAAGAATACAGATACCATGTACCGCCAAAATTGTTTTTTTTAAGAAGAGTTTTTAAAAATGTTTTATGTGTTTGGGTGTTTTGCCTGCATGTATTTCTATGTGCCATGCTTGTGCAGTGCCCATTTCGACCAGAAGAGGGCGTCAGATCCTCTAGAACTGGCATTACAGAAAGGTGTGCACCTCATGTGAGTGCTGGGAATCAAACCTGGATCCTCTTGCGCTCTCACTTCGTGCTCAGGCTTAACTTGAGCTCAGCCTAGACCTCTTGCCTCAGCCTCTGCACCTGGCTCATGTTATTCATGTTCTATTACACTTATAGACACTTTTCTTCTGCTGTTATCATAATTTCATATTTTAAATTCCCCAACATCTTTTGCCAACTCATGTACATTTATTCTCTGCTACAGCTGGTATTGATTGGAGTGCTGCTTCCCAGGGAACTGCTCCCTTAGAATGTGGCCATGTATTGCAAAATCATTCTGCACACCAAGATGGAAATCCATAACCCCAAATGCAGTCACAGTGTGATCTGCACGTTGTGTGTGTGTGTGTGTGTGTTTGTGTGTGCGCGCGTGTGTGTGTGTGTACATGGTGGTCAGAGGACAGCTTGACATTGACAGCTTTCTGGTATTTCCTCCATCTCTGTGGAATTCAGAGTCATCAGGCTTAGCAGCAGCGCCTTTACCCCCTGAACCATCTCAGTGTTTCCACATAGTTTATTTTGTTGCTTTGTTTGTTGTTGAATAGCTCCACGTAGTAAGCACCGACTGATAAGCCAAGTCTCCTGGATGTTGTTTGTAACAGATTTGAGTTTATCTGGTGTGCAGCTCTTCCGTCCACTCTCCCCCCGGTCTGTGGAGTATAAGCCATGCTTTCCCGTCTGCCTTCTTCGGCGATGATGTGGTTGGTGGTGATGGGATTGAACTGAGCCTCACATGTGCTGGGCATGTCTGCTATTGCTGAGCAGCACCCAGATAGCAAATGTTTTCTCTTAACATTTTAAGAGCCTGGGGTGCCCCCCCCCCATTGCATGCTCTTGCTTTGTATAGGTGGAGCGTTATCTGTAATCAGTCCTTTGTTGTTTAATACCGTTCTTAGGAAAACGTGCTTATAAAACTAGACGTCCGCTCCTATTACTACACTCTAGCAGGTTCTCTCTGCCCTGACCGAGGATCCAGAGTGAGAAAGTCAATCCTGACCAGGATTGAGCTGTGTGGCAGCTGGTGATCGGGGCTGGTTTCCCGGGTGGTGGTCTGCACCAACTGTGTCGCATGCAGTGACTCTGTCCCACTGCTGGTGGCCTCAAGGGGATTTGTCCAGGAAGAGGGTATAGAGTTCAGTATGGGGCTTGCCAGTGAAGGCTCTTCGTTATAAATATATTATGTTATATAATATCACAGCTGTATATGTACGCTTTCTCCTTGAGCTGCAGTCTTGCTGTGTTGCCCAGGGCAACTTGAAACTCTTAGGCTCAAGACAGCCATCCTGCCTCAGCCTTCAGAGTCATCAAGATGTTAGGTGAGGCCACCATGCCTGGCTGAGGACTGTTTATAAAAAGGCTCCCTTTAAAGACACCTATTGTACACATCTGTGTATTTACAGAAGACCTACTTGTACTTACTGTGTGTGTGATGTGTGGGTGTGTATGCCGTGACACTTGTGTGACATAGGTCAGATGACTGACCCCTTATCCTCCTGCCTCCACCCTCATGTGCTGAAATTACAGGTGTTTGCCACTGTATAACAGGTTTAATGCTTTCCTACTATGTGCCTTTTAAGAAGATGCACTCTGACTTCCCAGTGTTTCCATCCCTTTATTTTGTTTACTTTTGTTAGTTGTTTGGAAATCACCTTTATATCACAAGCCAAAATTGCAGGAATAAATAATTTAGGATAAGTAAATTTATTTGTTTAGAGACAGAGTCTTGTAATGTGGCCCTGGCTGACTTGAACTCAGTCTGTAGACCAAACAGGCCTTGAACTCACAGAGATTCACCTGCCCCCGCCTCTGACGTGCTGGGATCGAAGGCGTGCGCCATCACATACACACCAGCTCATTACTGTAACAATTTTTCTGTTTTTAAACAGAAGTGTACTTGGAGGCCCAGGAGTTGTGGGCTGTCAGGTTGAATCCTGTCCATTCTTGTCTCTACCAAGGCCTCTCCTGTTCCAGCAGCTTCCCTTTCTACCACCTTCTGCCTCTGCTTCATTAGAACGCCTAGGCTGGGTCTTCCTGGGTTAGATACGCTTGAAGATGTAGGAGTGTGCGTGAGAGACAGACAGACAGAGCGACATAGAGAGAGACGGGAGTGGAGAGACAGACAAGCCTCCTGTTTAAACTGCTGTAGCTTCGGGCTCACTTGGAATCTTACGGTTCTGGGGATTTATGTACAACCTGAGGCCGGGTTAAAACTGGTGCTTCAACTATGGGTTCAGAGTTTGGGAATTGTTTGCCAGAAGGGATGTGTGAAAGGTTCGGAGTGATCTTTCACTGTCAATTTCCCTTGGGAATTTTATGTGGGGATGACCTCCAGAAGGCTTTTAGCATTCCTGGACCATTTGTGAATTAGGAATATTTTAGGGGCAGGTAATTAATTGTACATGCCTGGGTCTGACTTCCTCATTTTGAGGTCCGTTATGAATGCAGCTAAACTGCAAGCTTCAACTGTTGCTAATCCAAGAGTTCTATTGCTAAATGATACAAAAGTCCCTGGGCATGGTGGTGTGTACCCCTGCGGCTCTAGCTCTTGGGAGGTAGAGGCAGGCACATCAAGAGTTCAAAGTCAGTTATGAGACAGTCTCAAAACTCAAAAACAAAATAAAACAAAACCCCACAGCCTGGTGATAGCGATGCCCGGCTTTAATTCCCATATTCACAGAAAGAGACAGCAGATCTCTGAGTTCACGGCAGCCTAGTGTACAGAGAGAGTTCCAGGACAGCAAGGACTACCCAGAGAAACCAAAACCAGACCAAAATAAAACAAATCCAAAACAAATCAAAATACACTGAGGTTTCATACATGTCTCTTACTTCATAAAATAGAAAGTATTTTATGTAGTATGCAGAGGAGAGAGCATCAATTAGAAATGCTAATACAGCCTCCCCCCACAGCCCCTCACCTGAGGAATGGTCAGTATTATAGTCAAACCATGCCTTGTTGTTGTGGGAACATTATGGCGGTCTCACACAAAGAAAGACAGCTGTGAAGTCACCAGGCCATGTAGCCATGGCGCCAGTGTTATATGTGACATGTATACAGTCTGACCTGTACTGAAACGTCGCTGGGCTTTTGTGACTGATACTGGCAGAGTACCAGCCTACTCCTCCCTGAGTTTGTGGTGGTGGCCACAAGGCCACCCCTTGGTACAGAGCGTCGTCAGCATTGTTAGTGACCTGCTGTCTCACTCTGGAGAAGCAGGGCTCTGGCTTTACTTTCCTGCCCGGACTCTGGAAACTAAGGAATTGGATGACAGAGTCACAGAGAAAGGAATTTTTGAGTAGTTGCATTGAAACTCTGGTATTGTACAGGTGATGAGCCCAGGCCCCAGGATGGTAAATGAACTGCACAAGGACTTGTCCCTTCGGGTTGGTGTGGGCAGGACTAGAGACAGGACTTTCTGGTGGCAGGTCTGGACGGAGGAAAGCTGGCTGTGCTGGTTCAGTGAGAGACGGACGCAGATACTGGGGCAGCTCTACTGCCTGAAACTCAACTGATCTAAAAGTGCACCTCCTTCCCCGGCTCCCATCCTATGAGTCCATAGTATAATTAATCGTATTTATGACAACATACAAATCCCCATTATACCTTCCCTTTCCAGACTCCTGGTGTCCTCAGGACTCCTGACAGTTTCCTGGATTTGATCTTTTTGTTATTGATGGGTTTTTTTTTTTTTGATGTTATTGTTGTTTGTTTTTGATAGAATCTCACTGCAGTTCTGGCTGGCCTGGAATCACAGTGGTCCACCTGTTTCATGCTTCCAAGCACTGGGGTTAAAGGTGT